ATAAAGCTTCCTCTATGAGGAAGCCAATCTATTATATGCTAACAATTTTGCTAATTCCTCATAGAAAAAGCTTTATACGTAAGCGAAAAAAATGATGAGGAAGCAAAATATGCAAGTTCCTATTTTTATTTATGACAATTACTCGAAAATATCTTCCCGTTGATCCTTTTCTAGACATACCGAGTTTTGCAATGTGAACGCTGGAAGGAATCATCGCGTATCATAACAAGCTTTATCCGTGCACGCATCTCACGCGACCACGTGGATACGAGTTGGGTACACGTCGTGCCGGCGATGCGATCGCATTGGTTGATCGCCGCTCGTACGACCGCGCGCTCACTTATTCCGGTGCACGTCGCCAAGACACACATACTTGTACGCGTATCTCTAAATCTCCTATTAAATCTGGTTTCTAAATCTGGATTAAAATTTTAGATTCTTTTAGCTTCATAAATATCTAAAATATTCTATCGAGGAGCTTATATTAATAATGAAAAGGGTTTTTTGTAATATCTAATAACATTCGATATGCACGCCGCGCCGGTCGACCGGTAGACTGGCATCCGTATGTGTGAGTACATACACGGATCGCATGCATGAACGGATCACGCGAGTAACGGCTGCTCATCTTGTTTTGCCACTTCCTCGTACGTGCGTATTATATCACGTAAAGCGCTCGATCTGGTCGCACCAGCCGATCACGCACTTACATTGTGACACGCGAAAAAAAAATGGTATTGAAGTGGAAGACCAAATTATTGACATATTAAACACACATTCGTTTATATACGTTTATATTATGTATATACTTTTTTTCATATTTTAACTCTGATAATACTTTAACTTCTTAAAATATTTTATCCTGGTTTCTCCTATTATAAACTTTGAATATGAAATGGAAAAATTTTAACAAAATTGATTTCTTATTCCTTAATTAATATGATAATAGGCAAGTATAATCGTATACGCAATACTGGTAACTTTTAAATCCTAATTCTGACAGATAAACAAATTTTTACAAATCAGTTTTTTGTATAAATCTATTATAAAAAATAATCTAAATTTAAGTTCTTTTTAAATCGTGTTATTTAAGAGAAATAAAAATTATTTTACAACATAAATCTGTAACAAAATTGTAAAATGTGTAATAAAATTATTTTACATTATTTAAGATTATCCGTATTGCATATATTAACAAATTTATATTAATTGTATATATGTTTGAGCTGATTAACCCTTGACTGCCAATGACAAGAAGTTTCGTCATTCTGGACTTTGCTCACTGCCGCAAAAATGCATTTTCTCATCATGGAATATTTTGTTAAATTAGAACCGCTAATTTTATCATTGAAGCCAAGTATAACTAGGGGTAAGCTGAACACAAATTTTTAATCCGATTTGCAAAATGTTATTTTTTAGTCTACAACTCACATATACAATATTTATAGAATGTAGATATTTATACAATTCAGATATTTATAGAATTTTGTTGTTGTCTGACAACGCTAAACTGGTTCCGAATAAGATAAACAGAACAGAAATGTAAAGTATCTTAACATACCTACCAAAAAAACAGGAAATAAAAATATTATTTTGATAAAAAATACAATAATTTGTCATCTATCTATTAGGCAATATTCTTTTTCTGTTTTACCAATTTACCGATTTTTGCGTAATCGCGGATTTAGTTAAATATAAATTTAAAGAGAAAACATTCGTTAATCATTTAAAAGTCAAGGTCTATTGTCTAGATTAAATGTCAATCTTCGTTTGCATACGAGAAAGAAGAATAATCATTATGACACACTATCTCCTGTGTGTGAATCTGAGCTCCTTGTATTTTTCAAACGGTGTCACGCCACATCAAGTCACCCCGGAAACGCGAATGTACGCTTTCGCCGAAGGCATTGCGAAATACATTGCTCGTTTAATGTATACTTTTGTACAAGATCATCTTTACATAACATTTTATTTTTAAACACGAAGATCCAAATGCTTATTAACAAATAAAACGGACTGATAATTTGCATTTGAATATTATGGTCGTTCTACATTAGTCGTAATCGTAAGAGTCGTAAGAAATTGACCAACCACAGTCTATTCTTCGATCGCAAGCAGAATAACAGATTATGGTTGGTGGTTTCTTACGACTCTTACGATTGATGCGACTAATATAGAACGACCATTATGCATAATTAAGTTTATGCTAATAAAACAACAGTAGCTCTTATCGAATATTGTTTTCATAAATTTGAGGTACCACATTTTGTGAAAAAATTTAAAATACTTGAAAACCGAATGAGAATTTTTGCAATTCTGACAAATCAGAAAATTTCAAAAACTTAATTGCTATTTTTTATCATTTTTATGAGTAATTTATAACTGAAAATTTAGAGCTTCAAAAAAATGTTTTAAATTGCAAAAGGAATTACATAGATTGAAAGGAGGAATAATGATGCTAATTTGATTGCATTCAAGCAATTTTATAATTGTCAATATTACTTAATTACTCTTTTCATAAAATTTAATTATCTCTTACATTTAATATAACTACTAGTTATTTATCTTATGCATCTCATGCATCGTAAAAAATTATTCTGCGCAATAAAAAGAATAAGAATACAAAAATGTTCCGCATAAAATCAAAGAAGTTGATAAAAGAGGAAGATTAAGTAAATGACTAATGTTTTAAATAGTGTAAATGATATCTATAAAATACAAATATATTGCGTACAAATTATTACGAAACTATGTTACCGAATTTTGTATGTACCGACTAAAAAATGCAGCCTACATTGGTTTCAATTTCTTTTATCCTTTATGTATAATTAATAATATTGATATAATGTCGGTGATACGGAACGATCGTGTCCAACGATTATCCAGACAATTAGCTCCCCAACCCGATCATTCTCCACGGAGCGTGCAACAGGAAACACTTATATGCATCGAAGAGAACGCAATAGGATTATGTCGCAAATATAGAGCTACGCTATTCCTCGCGACGGAGCATTTCGTAATAAAACTTTAGCTGCTATCGAACGCACGCAAAGATCGGACCACCTCGTAGCTAAGAAACATTTAGCAAAATAATTCATGTAAGCAATTAAATAGGCAATATTTTTCAGCAATAGTGGAATGATAAAATAACTTTCCTAATTTAATATAATACTTGTAATATTATAATAATTTAATTTAATTGATAAATAAGTAAATCAATAACTAAATAAAAATAATTAAGAGTTATTAAATATTAGTAACTTTTATATACATATATATATATTAATGCATTAACAGGCTCGAAGACCGTTTGAATGTGCCAATGTTAATAATATTCGCGACTTATACGTTTCAATTTAAGGCCTTCTGGATTCATATACGAAAATGTAAACACGCGGCGACTCAACTAATGGTGTTCATATATCGGAAACAATAACGGTGTATATTGATCAGGAAGCTCAGATCAATTCCTCGAATACGTATAACTGTTCAAGCTACGCATAAATATTTCCCTCTACCTTGATATATGTAATTAAAAGCAGAGCTCGTTCAAATTTTTTGTCACGTCCGTTTGTACGCGCTTTGCGTATATACCGCCGTTGATGGTTGCTCGCGGCAATGCCGACATCACGGATATCTTAGCGATAAATATATTATTGGGATCGTTGTAAAGAGTAATGTGTTTTAAGGCAAAAATTGAGTAATACCAGTTGCATAAAGTAATACCTTCCTCGTGTAAAAACACTAAAAACTACTGACAAATAGTTGTAATCATTACTTAAAAAATCGATACTGACGCTGAAGAGAGACGGTTCGGAAATGTAACGAAATATCTCGAGTCATTGGATAATATTCTCCGAGTGATGAATACACAATTTTTTTACGCGCGTGAATCGTCGCTTCTCTCACGATCATCTGGATTCTAGAATTTCGCTTCTAGTTAAACGAGACATTGTAGAGTCCTCCGTAGGCCGAAGACATATGTATACATGGAATTATGCCTATGTGGAAAACCACCTACTCATACTCATTTTTTCTCTCGAGAGAGAAAGAGAGAGAAATATCCTTAATAACAAAGGGATTATTCAACCACAATCAGGGCTGATAACGCGTGGGCAGGAAAAGAGCAACCTTTTGCATTAAAAACTACGAGATTCCCTTGGTAAGTGCGTCACGTTGCTGTATCGATGTATCTTTTAACCCTGTACGCAATGCTATATTTGGCTTCTTTTTTTTCTATCATGTGGGAATAATGAGTGTGTATTACAGTTTGTATTATTCCTACAGTGACCATATTTTCTGGGAGAAAATAAAGGACAAAATTGAGTTTTGAGAAAATAAATAAATCTAAAGGACTATATCCCTTATAATAAAAGATGTATGGTCACGGTAATTATTCCCTGTATTCTAACTTTCGAAGAAGCCGCATTTTTTTAAAGAAAAATATACATTTTGCTTTGAAATAGTCTTGTTGAAAACTTTCTTTTTCTTGAAGATATATTTCCTAGTTATAACGCATAGTATCCGAATCATAATTAAATAAAAGTAGATTGACCTTATATAAGTAATATCTGACATAATGACATAAAAACAAAATTCATAAAAATACAAATACGAAACAAACACAGAGCATGAATGTTTTTTATCTGTACTTGTCCTATCAGCGTGCAAATATTAAACTGAAAGAGGAGAATTTGTTCCGATTTCAATATAAGTATAGCGTTAATTTTGTGAATATTTTTCAATATCTCCCAGAATAATAAAATTCTTCAATTAAATTTTGATAGTCTATAATCCATTAAATCTGTATTTTATTAAACGCGTAAAAGTCACGGTGCGGTCACGCTTCGCGTGTACTTGGCGTGTCTCTTGATGTTGTCAAAAACGAAGGCGCGATTTCTGTCACATTGGAGGAGAGGGACGAAAACCGGCAGCGATTGCCGTTATAGGGTAGTCGAAGGGTTCATCGTGAATGAAATAAAGGAATCACATCGACCTACCTTCGTAAGCTTTTACGACCGGTTGCGTCCTGGAGACCAGCGGTGGATTATTTCTCTGGCTGGGCTGACAAATGTGGAAGACAGAAAGACGTGAGCTTCTCGTGCGACTCTGTTGTGTTCTCGATCAGGGACTTTGTCGTTGACAGGCTTTATCGTACCGTCGGCAGATGAGCAACGATCGGCGTCGGCAAAAGAACTGAGAGACCGGCACCATGCGTGAGAGTTAAATATTATTCGCGATGCTTGAAGAGAGACAGAGACTGCCGGCGATGTTGGTGGCACCATCACGTGCTCGCATGGCAAATCACGGAGACCAACGTGCAGCACGTGATATTGTCATGCAGGTCCGCGTGCGCAGGTCCGAAGGTGCGTTATGCGTGAATCCGGTGAATCACGATTTATTTATTATGAATGAAATATATGATCAATTAATGTTTATTATTATCATATTAAGTATTATATTAAGACAAAAAAGGAATTAATTTGTGGATCAAAATTTATACAAGAGATAATAGATTTTGATGGAGATAATAGCCCGAATGCGCTTGTTAACGCGTGTAGAATAATTTCGCAATTCTCTATACTATTTATAAAAGTGAGAAATTAATATCGCGAAAAGGAACATCTCAGATAAAGACTGAAAAAGCTTTCTATTTTTCCAGACAGGCATATATTTACTGTGTCTGAGAGTATCGATTCTGTTCGCAACATACATATATTTTGAGAGATAATTTTGCAATCATATTTATTTAAACTGAAATTTATTTAAATTTAATGTGTTGAGTATTTAAATAACTTGTTAGCATTTTATGTTAAATATGATTTAGGACCATAAGTCGACAAATTTTCTGAGATTTATTGTAGTTCTTAAGGTTAATATTTTGCGAACTACTCTGTAAGTTGGACGTTGGACACCGCACAATTTGTATGCCCTGCATCGCCGTTGAAAATTTCCTTTTTTCTTCCTCTTACATTTTTTTTTAGTACTACCTCTTAAAAGAAATCGTAGAAGAATGACATAGCGTAAAACAAACAGGACTATTTAATTAGTTATTCAACGATGGATCATGAAATAAGTAAATTTATCCGGAAGGTCAGTAAAATGTTAATGATACTGCATTTACAATTGATTACATTGCAATAAAAAAAAATTTTTTTTTGAGCACAGGAATGAGAATAATTATTCCTTATAGTTTTTGGACGCTGAATATGATCCCGTTTGTCAAATTGTTCTATTACGTCACAGTTTTAAGAAAGTTGTAGTTAAATTTGCAAAAGAGGGCAATTTTAGTGTATTTTGATATATTACAACTACGATATATAACTTATTAAAGAAGTTTTATTGCAATTAAAATTAAGTACTAAGACTTTCAGCCTTTAAAAGGAATTTACTGTGTCAATTATGGTTAAAATGATATTGATGATTAATGTAGAGCGTGAAA